GTTAAAAACTCGTTTCTCTCTGTCTAAATGTCTATGAGGATAGGGCTTCATTAATGCTTTGCTCATGGAAAAAGCATCATCTGCAACAATATGATAATGTACTTTACATACTGAATTTGGTTGAAGAGGAGCAGGTAGTGGCAGATCTAGAGTGTTCTGATCCAATGCTTTTTTCAGAGTTGATTCGTTGTACACACCACTATCTCCAGCCCACCCTGAGGCACCAACACTCACATATAAAAACTTATAGTTAGCATCAACAAGAGCCACTAGCAATACACTAAAGAAATGTTTGTAGTTAAAAAATTCTGAACCACTTGAAACAGGCTGTTGTATGGCAATATGCTTCCCATCAAGCGCCCCAATACAAAACGGATAGTTCTACTTCCTTTCCAAATCTTTCGATATTTCTAACCATTCATTAGCAGAAGTTGGAGTCTAAAAATAACATTTAAATTATATTTTTCATAAAACATTTTAGGAGCACTGTGACTCTCCATCACATACTAGCATAATTGATCAACCTGATGAAGAAAGTGTTGCTGATGATAACATGTCTTATCAAGCTAATATAGAAACACCAAGTCCAACTCCTTTGGAGGGAGATGAGATTGACATTCCCTTAACAAGATCAACTAAAGAGCCATTTCAGTTAAAAAATAGTAGAAAGAAGCAAGCAGAAGAGGAATACCATCCCAACAAAGGACTGGCTAAGTCAATGTCAGAAAAACAAAATAAGAAACTAAAAACTGACAATAAACGAAAGAACCAAACGGATACTTTTGGTCGATATGTATCCTACACATTAGCAGAACTAGAACCCAAAGTACGTTTTGTGGCTCAACATCACATCAATAACATTTTGTTCCAAGCACAAAGTGGAGAGCTTTTGACTAGGCAGACTTTTGGAATGGTAACACCTACTTCTTCACAAGATCAAACTTTTTGGCCATTAAACCACCCAACAAATACATCCAAAGTTGATGATATAGTTTCAAGATTTCAATCTCAACTGAATAATCAACATTACAGTCTCCCATTCCAAAGACAGCACACTGGATTCCATCCAACTCTACAAGTTGCAGACAACACTAGGCAGTTTCAGTTTTCTTCTCCTTCTATTCAGTCTCCATCCAATGTACATGAACATTGAACAACACAACACTTGACAACCATTTGTAAACATATTTGTATCATGAAATTTTGTATTATCTAAACATAACTTGTCTGAAGTTTATTTCAAAGTGACATGTTCAATATATTGCCTATTAAAACTTTTATTACCTTCAAATATTGTTGTTTTAGAGACATATACAGAGCTTGGCATGTCTCTTCCACAATTTCAGAAATTGTTCGTTCACCGATCTGAAACTGGAATGACAAACTCCTGAATGTTTCTCCTAAGTTAAAATAACATAAATAATAAGTTGCTCATGTACAGGAATGAATTGAACAAAAAGATAATATATTTCCTCAGTTCGAACCTGTGGCGAGGAAACGCAAAGTTACGGATAGACGCTCGCAAGGTTTCACTGCTGGTCTCAAGTGTGTATCCATCTTAGTAATGTAAGGCAGAACCAATTGTAAGATATTATCAAAGCAATCCCGATCAAGTCGATGGAATCGTCGAAATTTCTCTGGATCCTCTGCATTTAATTCTTGAACGAGATTGTTAAATACTCCTTGCGATTGTCTTCTTTGGATCCATCGCTTTGTCCACAACTTACGATGTACAGCTCTCAAACGTCTCCGTCGCTTTCTCAACAACAAAATCAATAGCAAAACTTTATCGTCTTCTGAGGAACTATCATTATTGCTATCTGTGTTGGTGTCACTGATATTAGTGTCACTGCCATCACTGCTATCCGCCATATTGTGTTTACATTAATTTAATGTGCGCATGCGTAGTGTCATCATTGTAGGAGGACTTGCTTTTCGTCGGCCGCACACTTGGGATTTTTGTTACTCGTGACAAAAAATATCAAACATGTTTGATATTTGGAATATCTGTCACGAATGACAAATGTTGTTCGAAACTTCCGCGCACACTAGGAATTTTTGTCGATCCAACTTGTCACGAATAACAAGTACGCGCGGCAAGTACGCTAGTGTGCGGCGGGCTTTAGCAACAATTTCTTTTGCAGAATATAAAGAGAACAAACAAACATCAATTTATTATCTTACTAGAGAGGTTACTAAAAATTGACCTCTGTTTTTAGAATTAAAATCAATCTATTTAAAAAAATCCTACCAATTTTAGGCTTTTTTGCAATGAGTTGATTTCTTGAATAGCAACTTCTGGTTTGATGTCGTTCAGCAAGGCTAAGTGCAACATTAGTGACGTTTCCAAGGTATGAAGCCAATCTTTTAAAGTAACTGTGCTTTGCTTCATATCGCATGCGCCAGCTCCGAATCATTGGTCGAAATCTGAAAAAATCAAGGACTCATGTTAGCTAGAGGGAAATCAATGATGTAACTTTTAAAATATCCATAATCAAAAGAGTTAATTCTTTCATTAAGTTGCTCCACTGTTAAAAATTTTTCTTTAAATATGAAGTCCTTCAGCAATTCTTTACATACATAGTGAAGTACTTCTTCTAGTATATCATGCATTGCATCACCTGGCATGCCATCTGCTACATGAAAATACCTAGAGTTGCTAAGACTTTATCTCCTGCAAAGCCCATATGCTTTACTCAGTTCTGGCTTTTCTTCAATCAGTTCACATTGGCAGTCATGACCAGCATGAGTTCGAAGTGTAAAATGTTTTTCTAAAAACTGAAAGACTTACTTTAAAGTGTATGTTCCTGGTGTGCCAAAAAGCATAATAAAACATTTGGTCTATGTTGAAACAGGTTAATAATGTATTATCATAAACATACATACCTTCTGCTTTATTTATTCAGTGGTCCCCATGCATTGCCGGCATTTCAAATGTGCACCTGGACCTTCTTTGAATACACCCATGAGTTGTAATCCAAGATTGTCTCCAGAAACCAACACAATAGTCCCAGAAAATGACATAGGTTCACCTTTAACAATGAACTGGTGACCACCATCCTCAAAAAAGAAGTGTGACAGTTAAATTTAAGCAATTTTTATCAAACTACTTACTCTGAACTATTATCAATAACAGGTAATAAGCTAAAAAACAATAAATAGGATCACTTACTTGTTCGAGGTATTCAAGGTCATTCATGAAAGGCTCCAAGAGAATGTCAATGCCATAGTTTTTGATGATTGGAACTGTTGCCATAAGGAGTAGGTGAATGTTATCACACTGGGATCGATATCGATGATCAATATTTCCAATTGTATAGTAAACAACTCCTGTCATACAGAAATAATGGCATATGATGTAATAAGAGCTTCTTATAGCCTTTGATTGCTCATACACTTTTTTACATTTGAGTGACATTATTCTTTTTTGAAAAACAACAAATTGGATGAAATTGTCGAAGATTTTGAAGGTATTGTCTCATCCTGAAATGTAGGTCGCATGTGTTGTTGTCTCGTGCATAAATCTAGTGTAGAAAATAATTCAAAATTAGATTTATAGATGACTTGCCTTGTTTACGTTTTGCTAGCAGGCAGATTTTGTCGAGCGCTTTTAGAGAATACCAACAGCAATAACATAATTTCATTGACGTTTTGCTTCTTATATTTTTAAAGCTAATGAAGTCGACAGCAAGGATTTTTTCAATTTAGAACCACATAATATTTATCAGATGATTCCTCGAATAAAACTTAGCAAGAAGTTTCCGTGTATTTGGAATGACGTTACTGCAAAGGTAAATTGAAGCCTTACAGGTTTTCTACATAAAATGGTTCAAAATACTTGGTTTGTTATTGGTTTCTTGATTATATTATTTACTGCCATGTGCTTTGATTGTGTCGTTATAAAATCACCAGAAAATATTGCTGCGTTATTTCTTTACTTCTTTATGTTGTATGTTAAGGTTGAATTTTACTATTTTTTAAGAACATTCGACCAGAGAGACATCTCAAGGACAATGTTCCAAGGAGTCCCTTGACAGCTAATGTGAACAATTCCAATTGGTTGTCCAAGTTTTGTTTGCCAACAAGAGTAAGTAGCATTAAAAATTAGTTTTTTACACACTACAAGTTTAAAATATGTTAATAAAGATTGCCATATCATATTAATAATGCATTAAACAGGCAATTAACTTCTTCAATTTTGGCACTTACTGAATCGCCAACTGCTCATGAAAGAAAACACATTGCTCTTATGTTAATTCAAAAGTATCCATTCTTAAAGGGATCATTTTGTTCTGGTCATGTAGGTTAAGAAAATCATTTATATTGCTGCCTAATTCAGTTTCATAAAGTACTGTCATTGTTTTGTTTTTCCAGCAACTATGGGCAAACAAAATAGCAGACCGAGTCCTTAATCTGTGAAGAAGAGCATCCCGAGCTGAAAAGCAAAAGCGGCTTGAAGAAGGGGTCCTAATTCCGAAGGGAAAACCTGGTAGGAAAAGTAAGAAATCCGTTTGCAATTCTCTCCCATCTCTTCCAGAAGGTGAAACAGAAGCAGCTATTGTAATTCAACAAAAGCAGTTGGTTGAAATGTTTAATATTGGCTCGCAAGACTTGAGCAAGATCAATGTTTTGATGAACAATACCTTTGCTCATCGGCGTAGAGACATTTTGGTTAGCAATACAAGGGTTTGGAAGCTTCTGCATGACTACCCTTTTTTCTCACACACTAAGGGAGTTGAAGTAAGGTTTCATTTCTTTTTCTGATTTTTGAGTTTGTTTGAAGTATCAGGCATGTTAGCCTGATGAGAGGGTAATATTCATATGTGCATGGTATACTTTACTAGATTATAGTACTACAAGCAATTTTAATTCAACAGGTTATAAGTAGCATATGAATTTATGAATATGAGTTTTTTTGCCAATTATTAATCTGCCGCTGTCCTGAGTATGTATGCTTTAGCAGAACTGTCTGTTGAATCACAATTAATTAGAGAAAGATAATTAGTTTTTTGGTTTAATTTTTTCCAGTTGAAAGCAGAGTTAGGACGTATTTTGGAGAAGAGTGATGTTGTGCAAGACATGAAGGAATGATGGAAATTGCACAAATATAAAATGCTGTCTGCTATTAAAAAGACAAAGCAAAAGAATGTCAGCAGTGTCCTTGAAGAGCTGGAGGATTGTCCAGTTGAAGATGAGAAAGGTTGGTGTAAAAATCAATAAGTTAAAATCCCTATTTATACTGAAGTGTTAATGCTTTAGAGAGTGATAATGGTAATATATTCATTGTATGCTATGCTGATTATTTTAGAGGTCAAGAACCGGTGTATAATGGCATGTTTGCCTTATGTGTTAGATGACCAATGCACCCATCGAGATATGAACAAAAAGCTTTTTTGGGACATTGTTGATGTAAGAGTTGATATTGTCACAAATAATATTTTCTGCATAAATGTGTAAAAAAATTGATAAATAATTTTATCTCTGTTGAAGGGTAAAAGCTTTGGGGAAGTTCAAGCGATCATTAACAAAAGTTTGTCTCCTAGACTCCTATCAACAGGAACATTAAGAAACATTCATTCAATAATGTTGGTGGCCGAAGGGATGATTGTGGCCAAGCTGAAAACGGAAAATATTGTCAACGCAGTTATTATTTTACTTAGTTCTTTTTATACTTTTAATGCTTAGTATCCTAAAGGCATTAATAGACATTGCAAAAATGTATTTATTCTTTTAGAACATTTGCTTTTAAATTCAAATGGCAATTGCAAGGCTCAATTGCCAACTTTTGTCGATCATTTTATTTCTTCTATGAAGTAGAAAACTTTTGTAGTGTTAATTAATTGCATGTACTAGAGATTTTAAGTATTCTGTGTTTCCAAAAGTGCTATTTATAATTGTGTCATTGATTTTCTTTAGCTTAGTTGAAAAGATCCTCTATCTTGGTCAAATGGTCATGGATATGCACCTGAAAAAAATGCTTATTTAATGGTAAAACAACCAAATAAAATTGGTCAAATAAATTGGTAAATTTAACCATTTTTGTTTTTGGTATTTTTGACCAATTTAGGAATTGGTTGTTTTTGACCTATAAAAATTGTTTTTCTCAAGTGCATTCAAATGACCAATTTTTTTTGGTCATTTTCACCAATCTATTTTTACTGTGTGCTTATGCCCCTTACACATTACTAACAATCAAGGAATGGATATATATATCTGTTTGTTCACTTGGGCCTCCACTCGAGTGTTTCATCTTGGATTTGTGTGTTATTTGTCTGTGCTATCGTTTCTGCAAGCTTTCCGCAAGGTTTGTCTCACAAAGAGGTTTGCCATGTAGACTAAGATCAGACAATGCCAAGACCTTCAAAAGTATGTCAAGGGAAGTTGCTAATATACTAAATCAACTGACATACAACAAGAACTGACTTCCATGGGTGTCAATTGGGAATTTATTATTTAAAAGGCACCTTGGCAAGGAGGATTTTTTGAACGAATGATACAAAGTACAGAGATGTTTCAAGAAAACTCTCGGTCGATCCTCAATGGATTTTGAAGCGCTTAGAACCATTTTGGTAGAAATCAAGGCTACCATTAACAATCGTTCACTTACATACACTAGGTGCCAAAAAAATTATTCCAGTTCCAATATTGGAAAAATTGTGGAAAAAATGTGTCTTTTGAAATATATAGTTACAGTAGCCACTTGAAAATGTGCAGTGAGACCTGAAATTGTCTCCCACAATTGTTTGCAAGATGTTTCACAATATCTAAGCGCATGGGCAGTACATTGGGAAATGGCTAAAGATTTAAGTGAAGAAGTTAGAGGACAAATTGTTGCTCTCACTAACGAAGGTTAGAAGCAGGGAGTGTCCAAAGGAGCTGTACAGCGAACCGTGGAAAGATTTAAAAAGACGCAATGTTATTCCAGCTTACCAAAACCTGGGAGACCACGTATAACAACAAAAAAAGAAAATCCGTTCATAAAGCTAAGTTCTTTGCGCAACTGACGACCAACAGCTAGCAACATTCGATCGTCAATTAACGCCACCCGAGAGAAAGCAATCAGCAAAACAACAGTAAGAAGGAGATTGGCTGCAAGTGGTCTGAAAGGAAGAGTTGCAGCTTCCAAGCCGTTGCTTCGCCCGATAAATAAGTGGAAGAGATTCTTATGGGCCAAAAATACAAGCATTACAGCGTAGACAATTGGAAAACAGTACTTTTTACTGATGAATCAAAGTTTGAAATACATGGAAATAATCGCCGTGTTTATGTGAAATGAAGATGTGGTGAAAGATTGTCAAGTCAGTGCCTCAAGTCCGCCGTGAAGCATGGGGGTGGAAACATTCAAGTCTGGGGCTGTTTCAGCTTTAATGGTGTTGGGAGTCTTTACAGAATAAAAGGCAATCTGGACAAAAAGCAATACCATTCTATTCTCCAAAGGCATGCTGTACCATCTGGCAAAAGGTTATGCGGGAGAGGATTTACCTTACTTCAGGATAACGATCCGGAACACAGCTCCAACTTGTGCACAAATTATTTAAGGAACAAAGAAAATCAAGGTGAATTGAAGCTCATGGCATTTCCGCCTCAATCGCCCGATGTTAATCCAATTGAACACTTATGGGATGAGTTAAAAAGAGAAAAAGTGAAACATGATGTAACAAGCCAGGACAGGCTATGGGATGTAATCTCTACATGTTGGCATAATATTGAACCATCTACACTTCAAAATCTTGTTAAATCTATGCCATAAAGAGTTTAGCCATTTTGAAAGCTAAGGGGGGACATACCATGTACTGACATTGCTTTTTCAAGAACTTAAAACCTAACATTGTTGTGACAGAGTGGTGATATGGTTCAAAACTAAAAACATGCATTCGATATTTAGTGGACTCATTTTTTTGGCACCTATTGTATATCTATGACGACCAAGAAGGAATTTCTTACCCTCTGACTCCATCTCAATTAATTTACGGACGGCAATTTATTCTTACGGCTAGTGATTGACAATTTGAAAGCATCAGTATGAATCGAACTCTAACCAGAAAAGCGAAATATCAGAAACGTATGTTAGATCAGTTTATTAATCATTGGAGAACGAATATCTTTAAGTGTCAGAGAGACATCACGCTTACTTCATGGAGCAGAGAAAGAGAAGATAGCTGTCGGTGATGTTGTTGTGTTAGAAAATTATCTTTCCCCTCCAATTTTGTGGAAGTTTGCAAGAGTTACTGAGCTCATAGTAAGGAAGTGGTTGTTCGGGCAGCAGAGGTCTGCGTTACGAGCACTACACAGGCTAGATCGTCAGAACGAGGTCATCCAGCAAATACCATGGTTCCCAAAACCACTAGTGGAATTGAGTCTAAAGATGAAAACTCTTTGAAAACCAGACAACGAAGAATTGCAGCCGTGATTGGAGACCTATTGCGACAGTCAAATAGTAAAAACTTGAGGAAATAAATCGATCAATATGATCAACGTCCACAGAGTGATGAACATTTGTTTTTTTCTTTTTGTTTTGTTGTTTGTTCTTTTTCTTTTTTGAGTGCATATGTACATTAAAAGGAAAATATGACTTAGAAAACTTTCATGTATTTCGTGCGCAAAGTGAACGGTAAACAAACAATAAAATAGTATAAATATATCATACATAAAATTTAAAATAGTAAAGATTTTCTACTCTAAAAGTCCTATGTTCTCGCAAAATCAAATTGTGACACATCTATAAATATATAACTGAGCTATGAAGGAATGTCATATGCAAGAATGTTATATTGGTTAGAGCACTGTACCGGCATCGCAGAGGTCATGGGTTTGAATCCCGTTGAGTCACCTGAATTTTTCAGGTTCTTGAGACAATTGCTTAAATTGTCCAGCAAAGTGCGAAGATCATATCTACATTTAATTCAAACTTCAGTGTGTCGAGTTTGTTTGTCCGATTTCCGGTGATTTGACACGGTATTATACGACGTGTTTTTAGAGAGTGGGAAAGGTGGATTGTTTGCTGTTTTGCTTTCATCATTTTTCTTTGATGTTTTTTTACCTAATATACCTAATAATTTTAGTTCTCATTATGCAATGTGATGTCACAAGTTAGATATATCGGACAAAGCAAAAATCTCAATATCTCGAGAATTAAAAGTGATATGCATATAGTGGTTTAGAATATTCATTGTCATTTTAAAATATCTTTTGAATAAAAGTATTACTCAAATAGCAAAAATTTTTGTTTCATTGGCACTTTAAGCAACCTTTTTATTAGCTTGAACAACTTCATTTGGTCGTGGTCCATTTTTGGTTATTTCAATTGTAAGATAAAAGCCTTTCTTTATATAAGTTGTGCAGAAACGTATGTGCTTAACGGAAACTTTAAGGTCTGATATTTTTAATAGTGGATGTAAGTATTTGGTCAGTTCATGCAATATAGCCAACATTTACATAAAATCCCTTGCCATTAGATATACTCCTATGGAATTTTTATCATGTTCGTTCTCTGGCTCTGCTGCTAAATATTGGTCGATTGTGATCATATGCCTCTTCAAGAGCATTTTGTCTTGAAGCATTGTAAGCACTTCCCATAACTTTAAATGGTAAAGATTGAAGCTCACCATATTCATCATTGACATCACCATTACTCCTTGTACCTGCTGGACTCTAATAATTCCCAAAGAACCAAAAACATCTCCCCTTCAATTTCTATAGAGGTTGTGAACACTCACGTGACTTGAGTACCAATCGTAACTATATATGTTTGTAGATGTAGATCGTCCAGGTTGGTATAGTCCTGAGAGTATCAATCGTAACTATACCAACCTGGACGATCTACATCTACAAACATGTAATGATACTACCTGCACAGAATAGATAACGTAACAGAAGGGCCACTTAGCGAAAATGCGGTCCTAAATTTTAATGCGCATGCGCTACTTCCGCCATGTTGGCAGCAAGATAAACTTGCTACACTAAATAAGGGTAGCAATGTACAAGTCAAAAATATTGCATTAATACTTGAAAAGTTGAAATATTTATCCTGAGACGACCAAATCAAAGCTGTGGTTAATAAAGGCAATCAAGACCTACCCTCAGCATTGTGCAGAAATGGGAATATACAATCAGCATATTTTTATGCTTTTTCATGTACAACCAATGTGTACAATTCTATCGAGACCTGTATGAGAAATGCTGTGTCGTGGCCGTGTAATCAAGGTTATTCATATTTATTTATTTGTAAAGAACGGAAGCGGAGAAGCGCTTAACGAACATCTTTAAATCAGAAACAAGAACGAACAATGTGAAATTTATCAACGGACGGGCTACACTAAAAAAGATATTTCGTATGACATTGGATTTGGTGCTTTAGAGTTCAGACAAAATTTAGTCATATCCCGAACACTCGATAAATGTTCATCGAGAAATTGCAAACTTGTGCAATTGGATTTAATGCCAATGCCATATTGTGTTGGGAAAATTCTTATATTGTATGATGGTAGCTAACTTCCAGATGCTCTTAACTATATGTTCCTTATAATATATTTATATATTGTTATTTTCGTTAAATCGCTGTCGCTGCATTAATTTTCGCAAAACTAATTACATATATAATAGTCAGTCTTTGATATTTACTTATTTGCACTAATGGCTGACAAAAAGAAGTTAAAAGGTGGAGCATTGTTCAGCAGTAAACTGCATTAACAGCAAAAGAACTCGACCTGACTTAAGCTTCTTTCGTTTTCCGCGAGATCCATTGAGATAAAATAGTAAATGTAGTAAGTTTTGAATGTAAAAATAAACTTTTACAAATTCTTATGACATTCACATGCCTTTAGTTCAAACAAATGGGTTCAAAATACTAGACACCAGGACTTGTTAAATAAAACTGCAAATTATCTCTATAATA